TGCTTCAGGCAAAATTATCATTATTGTTATAATATCATCATTATTAAAGTACTCTCCGAAGTTTCTGGTAAGTGTACTTTTCAATGATATTACTTCGATAGCGATGTCAGCAACAACGCGCCTCGTCGACATCATTTTTGCGACGAAATCTAAAAAGAAGGATAAAGGGGAGAAGAGTAGGGCGTTTGCCCTGGCCCTCAAAGGAGCAGTCCGCGATGACTTATGATGGCCTAGACTGTTATGGAAGGATAGCGCGGTACACAGTGAACAACCTTGTGCCAGTTTTATGGCCGAAAGTTGAGTTATGCTGCAAAATTGCTCAAGTTGTACCTCCCTCTTTCCAGTGGCTCCGCCTCCAGTCTCCGCCTTCAAAGCCCGCCTTCCAGCCAAAAGCGGTGCTACCGCACAAGTAGCATGACTAGGATGCTACATTTTCCTCTGTGGGAGATCGGGTTCATTACAAGGAGTCAGCAAACTGGAGTCGCCCCAGCGAATAGTTTTTCTGACATTTCAACCGTGCAATTGTTTGAGGCCGAAGGGGGGGTCATATAAAAGATACTTCCAGCGTTTCCTTTGGTATTTTCTCCTCGTGGATGAGTCACTCGGCAACCTTTCTTCCCACATTTCACCCACAACACCTACGCTCCTTGTCGGGGACCGTGACTCTTGAATTATCAAACATCTCGCATGCATCTAAATGGCCCTAGGGATGCCTTGAGTGCCACGAGATATCCGGGTTTCCACCTCTCATGCCAGTATCATTCAAGCGAAATTGATGGGAATTAAAACTTGCATGGGGAAAAAACCATCCACAGGACGTGTGGGCGACTGACTCTTATTACTGTAGAGTAATAGCCTGGTTGCAATTATAAGGAATGAGCCGGAATTTAGCAAATTTATAATTTATCATTTATATATTTAGGAAATGAAGGCACAACTTCAATTTTCTTTCATGCTTCTTTGGCTCAAAACGATCCACAGCTGTAAACAAGACGTCCTAGAGAAAATAGAGCACCTGTCAGAGATGACAGTCATAGGCTGACACGGGGCCATGGACCATTTTTCGTAAGGCTTGACTGATCAGCCCTGGGCAAACGCAGCAGCTGGTAACTGATTACTTAAGTTGTCAGAGCAATAGTTACGCAGGGACAAATGGCGCTGCTAATGTTATGTGGGAAGGAGAGTAGCGCAACTCTTCGGATGAGTTGTTTCGGACGGAAATTAAAAGGCCTTTGAATATTTTGGGATCTGATTACTGAGACTGTTACTTTAGAGTTAGGGTAGAGCATCGTTGAGCGAAACCTAAGTGTGGGGGGAGCGTATTTGGCCGCTAGGAGGAGTAGGGGATCATAAGTCAAGTGTCAGTGAGCATATGCTGATGTGAGGAATCGAAGAGCTTGAATGACGTGCAAAATGCTTTCTAAGGGTCTGCAGTATGTCTATTCCTAGACGGAGATTGCTGATTTCTATTCCTAGACGGAGACTGCAGCTGTATCCATAAATGGGCGGACATCCTCTGACATGATGGGAGCCATTTTATAAATGTGGTGTCCTTCATATGCGTCCGTCATTCTGAGTGGCGGTCGGATGCATGGCGCGCACTCAGACGAAATCGATCGACGATAATTAAGCAAATTATGCTTTGGCTGAGCCCAATGAATTCATGTTGAAGCTCCCGAAAGAGTTCCTCATGGCACAGAAGGAGTCGAGCCTTTGACTGGCTCAGAATGTCGCCCAAGGGTGACCCATCTGAAATATCTTCTTACTAGCGGGTCTTCAGGAAAACTGTAGAACTTGTTGAAAAGGGGAAGTATTGGGCGCAGGATACAGCATCGTTGTGTGAAACACATGGGGTCGTACTTGGCCGCAGGGGAGGGGAGGGTAGTATTTGGTCGTTGCTGGGAGAGGGAAGGGTCGTATGTGCTGAGAGAAATTTGCCGCGTTGGTAAAACAGTTTCCACGGTTGTTGACTTACGCGGTTTTTCCCGTTTCACTGGTGCTATATACTCCCCCCTTGCCCTGATTGGGCGTGCTGATGGCGTTTCTATTTTGCAAAAGATTATGTTCGGAAGGAGTTATTCTCAAGCATAAAAACCCGCTTGCAATTTACCACTGACCCATTCATAACCCATCCGAAATATTTCACGAATGGGGAACATTCAGATTGTGACTAGGTAGAAAACGCAACGGTAGAGATATGACGTTGAGGTGTGGCCTTCCGTTTTCCAAAAGACTAGCATCTGAAAAACTTATTAACTCCCGAACAGGTCTCTGGAATGTGCTACCCCAACAACTGTTCGGTACTCATAGATTGTGCGACTGTCCAGTGTGACATGGCAGTAAGGGTTTTTCCTCTTTTTGGGAACGTGTCGAGTTGTTCAGCATTCGAGGACTCGTAATTTATCGATTATCAATATGATCTACATCCTTTTTATCCTAGCCTATCCTTTTTATCCTTTACTGACACATAGTGCAAGCGAGGCTACGCGCGGGAATCTCGTCCTCTGAAGAATTCATCTAACAACCTCGTTTGGCACAAATAATTAAACAGTTTACAGGATCGTTCCAGGGCTCAGAGTTTCCCCACACTGCTCACAGTCAGTTCTCATAGGGAATTCACTTTTATAGGAGTTGGCCCAACAGGGAAATATTGAGAGCACTAGCTTAGATATGTGACACACCTGACGTCTATCGAGTGTTTTTGATGCCCAATTGGTGAATGGCCCAAAGCTCTCTCTACTACCGAAAAGCGATGTTGCTCGGCGACGGGGCGAATCGCACCTTTCCGGTCTGGGACGGCTAGGATTGATCGCGTTGCCATGCTAGTCTCCAAATCCAGCCCCAAAATGCCCGCCAGCTACTCCAGTACGCCAATTTCTGGTTGGTTAATTTTTTCAAAAGCCCTCTCAGAGGACATTAAATCAAATCAAAACCTTTTAGAGGCGTTCTCTCTAAGGAGAACCTCTTGGTTTCTAGCACATTACTCTTACTGTTAATCTCTATTAGTAAGTTCTAAAATGAACTAGCGATTCAGGGTTCACCGGGCATATTCCTGGAGCAAAATGGCAAGTGGGAAGTCGCTACAGGCCTCCTTCTCGAAGTCTACAGTCTTCCTATGCACCATCGTCTTTCTCCGAGCAATCAGTAGGTTTAGAAGTTATTTTCCAAGATAAAGCAGTAATTAAAAATTTAGCAGCCGGTTCACATCAATAGTGTCCAACTTCTCTCGTCCGTTAAACCTCGGCATTACTTCACACTTTTAGTTTTATGTGCCAAAGAGGTAGCTGGAACGAGTTCTTCATTGAAATTGACCTGACGTTTCAACTAGATCGTCTTTCTCGGGAACTTAAGAATCAAGGAGTTAGGTCCCACGACTACGGTAATAAGTAAGAGTAATACCCGGATCCTAGTAGAAATATCCGGGACATCCCACAAATCTGCTAATTACGAAAATTGATTGCGAAATTCCCATTCTTTAGAGAGTCTGTTTTAGGCGTCTGATACCCATTTGAGAAGAGCCAAGGAGAATCACAATCATGAGCATGAAAATGAGGTCACCGAAGATGATAGAAGAAGTGGTGTTGGGCACCAGTACGGCCACCACTCTGAAAGCGGACATCGCGTGAGAGTAATTACTTATTTCATTTACAACTCTTTATATGCTGAAATCCTGTATATTATTCTCAAAATTTCACGCACGGCTTGCAGTCGCTCTATTTTTAAAAAAGAAATTGTCACTAACAAATTGCTAAATAATTCCCCATTTATTAGTGAAACTCGCCCAACACTATAAAATTCGTACTGAAAATCGCAATTAAGAGCGTGCAATTCTCTCCGGAACAATCACGACGAGGTTATATGGAGAAGAATCATGGGGGCTCGGAGATGCCCTACGCTGAAGGTAAGCGGATAATTACTGCTTAAGGAATCATTCTAGGCAGTATTTTCCCTTTCTCTGGTCTTCAGGTTCTATAGGGTGTTCATTTGAGATTCGAAATAGCCATTTGGGAACACATGTACTCACACACTCTTGCAGTAGGACTTGTGGCACTATTTACCCTTTACTGCCCCAATCTTCCGAAAACAGGCCAGTTTTTGACCGACTTTTTTCTGCGTTGGCAGAATTGGCTGAAAATTTGTTTCCTGGGGTAGTTTGACCTCCTGAACATGAATATCACATCCGCTAGGCACGAAACCTCCTGGCGCCCGCGCCACAGGCGCCGGCGCCAAAATACCTAAATCACCAAATTCGCTGAAAACTTGTTCCTAGGAGTTTGACCTCCTGAACACGAATATTACATCCGCTCAGCCTGAATCCTCCTGCAGCCCCGCGCTACAGGCGCTGGCGCCAAAATACCCCAGATCACCGGCGCCTGTGGCGCGGGCGCCAGGAAGTTTCGGGCTGAGCGAATGTCATATTCGTATTCAGGAGGTCAAATACCCCAGGAGACAACATTTGAGCCAAATCTGTCCACGGAGAAAAAAGTCGGTCAGAAACTGGCTCAATTCTGGATGGTTGGGGCAGTAAAGGGTAAATAGTGCCGAACTTGTATACCGCAAGGGCATAAGACTAGCTGAGAATTTTGGTCGGATCCGTTTGACCCCCCCCCAAAAAAGGTGGCTTGATATGATCCCTCAGTCCCCTTGGTTCCCTGCTCTGATACGATCGAGCTGTCGAGCGGGGGGAGGGGATATAGCGCATATCAAACGGGAAAAACTGCGGAAGAACATACAACCCTTCTGCCCTGTTGCCTACCAGTTTCACAGATTTTTCCGACTTCTCACCTGTTTTTCAGTTTTCCGGAATTTCCCTAAAGTTTTGCCACTTTTGCCCCAAAAGTTTGCTGTCGAGCGGGGGATATATAGCACATGAGAAATGGGAAAAGCTGCGAAAAGTCAACGCCCTTAGAAAAATTTTCCGGAGCTGCAAAATTTTTTCATTAGAGAAGTACGACCCTCCCCCCTCCTCTCCCAGAACCAGTAGTGAACAAATACGACCTCCCTTTGAAGGCTTAGTGAAACAGTTAAAATCAGCTCTAAAAAACTTTCTTAGACCAAATACATCCCCGTCTTCCCCTGCGACCAAATACGACCCCCCCCCCCTGTTAGGGAATCCAATGAGGATGTGCCCTGATACCGCATGACCTCGAAAGCTACTGTTTAGACGAACCCACGTTGAAAGGCCAATACAATTCTGAATGGGCTAGAATGCAGAAAACTACCCCAAAGAGGGAACTAATTAGCACCGGATGCTTCATTTTTTACTATTCTGCTGTGTAGCTCCGTGAAATCTGCATGATTCTACTTCGCTGACTAGACGTCTTGTTCACAAATCATTTATATACTATGTAATCCAAACAGGTAAAGTGTAGGCAGCTAGGAGTTGCTTATGGGAAGACGTAATTGGTTCTCTTGGTCGCTCAAGCATGAGACGAAGGATATCGTTCACGTAAATAACAGCGTTCGGTAGCGGACTTCCGTTGCGATTATTTGTTACGTTTCTTTTATATTTATTTATATGCATGCATGAATAAGGTAAGAGGTTGTCTATAGTAACAGTGCAGAATCAAAAGTTGAAAAAGAGGATCATGTAATAGAAAAAGAAGAAATCAAAAATAAAACCGGATAATTGAGAAGATTAACGGAGTAATTTCGACTGCACAACTCCCTCGTTGCTTCAATCTCTTCTTCTACTTTAGGCAGCGTTCAGTGTCGTCACGCTGTGCAGCACTGTGAAGCACGTTACAGCGTGTCGTCGCGCGTTATAGCGCTGTAAAGCGCGGTAAAGCGCTGTACAGCGCGACGGTTCTGAACACTGCCTCACTTCTGAAGAGATAATGTATGTGGCTGAGTAAGCACAGACTGAGCGTTATACTGAGTTTTCTTGTAGATTCCAGTTTGCCAGTACGGATGTAGAATTTGACGTATTTAGTTCTAGAGAGTTTGAGTGATGGCTCGCTATTTCCCACAATTCATTTTCACTGAGGCCTTTCATTCAATAAAGGATCAAGGTTTTGGCGTAACAAAGTTCGGCTAGGAACAAGGGCCACCCGATACAGCGTTCTCCTCCTTTCCGTCGACTCCAGGGCACCCCATCGCGTTGTGATCATTTCCTGAAAAATACGACCCCCCCCTAATTCCATCCTCAAGTACGACCCCCCTCCCCATGCTCTACCACTTTCCTAGATTTTCCCAACTTCTAGTAGTGGGGGAGGGGGGTATATACCCAATGTTAAACAGGAAAATTTCTCAGATTTTCCCTAACCTCCTACCAGTTTTTCCGTAACTTCCCGAAAAATTTCTGTACCCCAGAATTTTGCGGTGGGGGAGGGAGGTCGTTAGGATTTAACTATCATTTTCAGCTATCGGTAGTAGTAGTAGTTGTTGTACAGATCTTGCAACCCCTCTCCCGACAAGGACCAAATACAACCTTCCCCCTCCTCCCTCGCAGTCAAATACGACCCCTGTCGTGATTATCACAACGATGACATGCCCTGGTGACTCTAATATATATAGGTCACCGATCTCGAAGTAACGTCGCTCGGGCAGTAGCTGGCCCGGGTTTGAAGTTTGGGAGGTGTTTGCAGGAGTCTCCAGCTGTCTCTGCACTGCCTTCGACCATTTTGCCCGTCCTTACGTGCAAAAAAATACCCTTGAAATATTCTGAACACATTCCAATGATTTGTTTTGCTACATTAAATTGTTTTCAAACGCTGCAGTCATCGAGAGTTGCCAAAAGAATGTTGAGTTATAGGCAAAAGCCTTGCCCTGACCCTAGACGGGATTCGAACTCGCCCGGGAGAAGTTCAAGTCCCGTCTGGGGTCAAGACGTTTGCCCATACCTTGGCATTTTGTGATTAGAATCAAAAAATGATGCATAATTCCAATTAATCCTAACCTCCTTGCCATTTGCTACCATGAGATGGAGAATTACTGCGAGTCTGTGCAAAATTCGCAAAAATGTTTGAAAATACAAAAACCATATAAACGAGAAATGAAAAAATATAGGTCAAAGTAGAACCCTAGTTATGTACCAAGGAGTGGAAATAGGTTAATGAAGGGATGTTCCGATTAATTTTGAAGCAGCAGACGTACCACGAAATCTTATCATATTGAGTTGCAGTGTATCACAACCATGAATTAGACCTACTATTGCTTACAAAAATTACGACTAAAATTTAGACTCACAGTTATCGTTGCTTCGCCCTGGAAGCTCCGAGATGTCGATCATCTATAATAGTGAAGGTTTTCCAGTGCGAATCATAAAGAACAATCAAGTTCTACATACAAGCACAAGTGATGCACAATCATTACGAGTAAGTTATTTTTCGTAATTTGAATACACGCTGTACGGCTGTATGCTTTTCATGTGGAAGGGGGGGGGAGGATGTTATGTCCATGGCTGCAGAAAAATAGCACTTACGACATTTGAAAGTGAGCGAAAATGAAGCTGGAAGGTTGTTATGGGTCCATGCCCTACTTCACCATTTAACGCTAAGACCACATGCGCGCAATACGCCACACGTCCAGTTTCACGCCTCACCATAGGCACACGCGGCACCTTGACTGGGTCCTCTCACATTTCGCTGGGCATCTTTATTAATTACAACAACACTCCCGCAGCAAGCCACCACGCTCCCTGCGGGACCTTGGACACCCAGTTCCTGCAGAGGGGATGGACCAAGAGAAGAAAGATCCAGCCAACGCAAACTTCCAGCTTTATTTCCGCGCTTATTCGAATGACGCAAGTGCCACACTTCTACGGTTGCGGACCTATCCACCCCAGTGAGAAGGGTCCACACCACACATGATCGTACAATGTGTATCTAAACTTTGCACGACGACAAACTGTCATTACTGAGATGTTTCTAATTTCAGGGATTGAGTAGTCCGGGGAGCGAACATCTGAGGAACGGGTTTCCGCTTGAACCTGCCCCTCTACCACAAACCAGGCCTCCATCGGTGAAGCAGAGAGCGAGAAGTTTTACCGAGAAGTAAGCAAATTTGCTCGCCAGTTATTTCCATCAATTCATAGAGATGATTATTTGAAGGAACCGTCGAAAGAGACCCGTTTGAAGGCCTAGAAGGAGGATGGTGGAGTAAGGGAGAAGTCCTGAGAAACAAGGTAAAACACTGGAAGATCAGTGGATTGAACGTAAATAAAAGATGTATTAAAGGAGCGTCGAGAATTGGCGAATACTGGTAAAACAGTTGCTGGAGGTGATTGGTCACAACGACCCGAGACACCGAAACAAAGGCCATCTAGGTGGAAGGTAGGTTGCTGAATCACTACTAGCTTGCTTTGTTTTACTGCTGTTGTTCATTGTGATTTTACTCCCTTATGATAGTTGAAGGCATACTGTAACGTGGATACTAAGTGACCCGCAATTTACGTCCGACGCCGAGTGCTGAGCAACAAATCAGCTGTCGCTACATTAAGTCCTAGAGCTCATTCAGAGCAACTAATACTAAGCTCTAGAAGTATGCCTTGATCTAGAAATGTCCGTCTTGCTTCTACTTTTTCCGGGAAGTCAAATTCTCCAGCCAGCTGTTCTGAAAGGCTTATCCTCCACCCCGAATTCACACGCTTAGCCAAGGAAAGTCCTGCCTTTGGGTGCACATTTGCAAGTACAACCCCCTTATGGTTCTCTCCCGTTTTCCCTCCCCCATCTCCATAGTACGTACTATCTGCTTGGGTTCTCCCACCTTCCTCCCGCTTTTCCGAAGAGATTCCCCAGTTTTCCCCAAACTACCACCGACGGTAAGGAAGGGAAGCGAGGGGGGGGGGAGGTGGGGAGCGCATATAGCGTCAATGAAATGGAACAAACCAAGAGAGGTCAACATCTGAAAACATTTCTCTTGAAAGAAAATACGACCCCTCCTTCCACCGACCTAATTGACAAGGAGGAACTACTGCATGGAGGAAATTGCATCACAATGAAATTGAGCGGACATTTCAAAGAAGATTCGAGATCTCTTAGGCTGCGTTCATACTTTGCGGCAGCGTCCACCAGCGTTCCGAGCGTCCGGCAGCGTCAGCGACTAGGAAAGTATAGATATCGATCTAGCGTCTGCCAGCGTCAGTAGCTCCTGCCAGCGTTTACCAGCGACCGGGAGTAGAGAGTATGGGGAAGTAGGAGGGTAGTAAATATCCGAATTGGGCGTCGTAAAATTGCGATGTCTGCAACACAGCATCGCACAGCTGCCAAAGCACAGAGATATACTTTTTAAGGTATGGCGTAGTGTAGTTGTACAAAGCGGTTCACACGCCGCAATTTCACGACACCCAATCCAGCTGTTTGCTACCCCCACCCCCCTACTTCCCCGTACTCTGTGCTCCCGGTCGCTGGTGAAAGTCGGTGGTCGATGGTAGGCACTGGCAGACGCTGGCAGACGTCAGATCGGTGTTTATACTTGTCCTAGTCGCTGACGCTGCCGGAAGCTGGGAACTCTAGTGGACGTTGGTAGACGCTGGTGGACGCTGCCGCAAAGTATGAACGCAGCCTCATAAATTAGAGACTACAGATTTCATTTCTGATCGTCGAGATTCCAAATGGGAATATTGAAGCTAAGGAGTGTAACGAGGGCTATCTCCCATCGAAAAGAGCCTGCGCTG